CTGACCACTTTTTTTTTTTTTTTTTTTAGTTTTGTGAGACAAGGTCTTGCTATTAGTTCAGACTGGCCTTGAACTCATGAAGATCCTCTTGTCAGCACCCCAAGACAATAGGCTATTGTTGACCTTTTTGTTTTAGCCATCCTGGTGGGAGTGTGGCAGTATCACACCGATTAGTTTACATTCTTCAAAGGCTGGGATATATCTCAGTGACGCCATTCCTGTCTGGCAAGCACAAGGTCCTGAGTTTCATCCCCCATACCAGGGGAAAAAAAAGTTTATATTCTTCAAGGTTAATGAAGTTAAAGCTGGGCATGGTGGCCCATGCCTGTAATCCCAGCACTTGGGAGGCTGAGGCAGGAGGATTGATGTGAATTTGAGACCAGCCTGGGCTACATAGTGAGTTCCAGGTCAGTCTGGACTACATAGTGAGACCCTGTCTCAAAAAACCAAAAAAACCAACCAAACAAAAAAGATTAATGAAGTTATATACTTTTTAATATGTTAATTAACCACTTAGATAACTTCTTTTCAGTAACATCCAAAGGTTTTGCTCAATTTTTTCCATTGGGTTGTCTGAAGTTTTTCCAATATGTAAAAAAAATTTTTTTCTTTTCTTGTTTTCTTTCTAGTACTAGAGATCAAACCCAGGGGCACTCTACCACTGAGGTATATATCCCTATCTCTTTTTTAAAGTTTTGAGACAAGGTCTTGCTAAATTCCCCAGGCTGACAAACTTGTAATCTTCCTGCCTCAGCCTCCCAGGAAACTGGCCTTACAAGTATGTGCCATCACACACTGACTGTAAGATTCTTTACATTATGAATATGAGTCTTTTATTAGATATGTGCATTTCAAGTACTTTCTTCCACTCTGGTTTCAACATAATGGTAATTTTATTTATTTATTTTTTCCGGTACTGGGGATCGAAGTCAGGACCTTACACTTGCAGGCAGGTTGTGGCACCACTGAGCTAAATCCCTGGCACATAATGGTAACTTTTAACAAACATAAATTTTAATGTAGTCCATTTTACCAATTTTCCTCTTTACATTTAGGGTAGTGTCCCACTGAACAAATCCTTGTCTTTATCTTCTTGAAAATGTCCTTTGATAGTTCTTTCTAAAAAGTTAAGTATTTTTTACCTTTCATATTTTGTCCATAATTTAGTTTTGTGTATGATATGAGGTAATTGTCAAAACATATTTTTTTCCAAGAAGATATCCAGTTGTCTTAGCAATGTACAGTTAACCAGGCTTTCTCCACTATCATCTTTCTAAATCAGGTGTTATATTCATGTAGCTGTACTTCTGGATTCTCTACTGTGTTCCACTGGCCTGTCTATCCTGGCAGCCATACACCATTGAGTTTTTGTTGTTTTTTTTTTGTACGGGGGATTGAACTTGTGCCCTTGTGCTTACAAGGCAGGCAGTGGAACCACTGAGCCAAACCCTGGTCCCCATTCAGTTTTACTAAGTCATTATCTTAGTAATTTAGGTTTATGGTTTTATTTTTCATTTTAAAACATATGTCCTATTTAGCTTACATTTTAAGTGGCAGAACTGTGGGGCTGAAGCATGAAGGGATTTCACCAAAGCACGTTTCCCAGTTTACAAAAACTTGACCAATCCTTTAAGAATTAAAATTCTACCCTTTGACTTAACTAGAAATCTACTGGAAATATACAAACCTTTGACTATGCCAAGACTATGGATCATTATACTTTACAAGAACACCCATGATATCTTTAGGAACTAATGAAAGACAATTCTTATTTTATTTTATGTTTACTAGCCCCAAAATAATTTTATTTTCACATTTCTTATTTTCTTCTTTTCTTACATCTAACCTGTTCTTTATTCTAAATACATTTAGCCAAATAAGAATCTACAGGTGACTGAATTCTCAATGCAACATTTGGGAGTAGTTCCTTTCTCCTCAGAAGCTTCCAGGAGTTTAAAAAAAAATTATTACTATCTTGTTTCACTGTTTTCTACAAAGTCAAGGCTATCAAAAGTCTATTCTGTGTATGAATAGAGTATTTTGGTATCCAATCAAACTCAGTAGATTTAGAATCTGAACAGAAAGAGATCGTATCTCAGCCTTAGTTTCCTATTTTAAAGACTAGGACAGTAGTAACAACTTGTATATGTAGTAGTACAACCACTATGGAAATCAGTATGGAGAGTCTCAAAAAAATAAAACATAGAAATGCCATTTGACTTAGTTATTCCCCTTCTAGAAATTTTTCCAAAAAAGTTACAGACATCATATTACAGAGATACATGACCCATATTTATAGCAGCATAATTTGTAAGTGTTAAATCATGGAAACAGTTTATATTCCCAGCAATACATGAATGGATAAAGAAAATGTGGTATTTATACTCAATGGAATACTACTCTGCCTTAAACAACTTGAGGCATTTGTGGGCCTTGAGACCATAACATTAAGTAAAATAAATCAGACACACAAGCTTAAAAATACTGTATGGTTCCTCTTATATGAAAAATCCAAAATATAAAGAGCAAAATAAAAGATAATAATAAGTAGGGAAATCTTTTTCATATGGAAAGGGAAATGAGTTGGAGAGGGGAGGGAGGAAAAGGAAAGCAGATGGGAAAAAGCAAAAACTGAAGGGAAAAAATGGAAATAGAGCTTTCACAAACGGAAAAGTTGCAAGAAGCAGGGAGGGAGGGATAGAGGGTAAAAAAAATGGAGATGTGATATACAGATATATCTATATATCTATCTCAACTCCCCAAGATAAATGTAATTATTATGTATTGCAAACATGTACTAATAAAAATAGTGATACCTGGCAGTGCTATTTTAAGTTTTATAACTTTAGTATACACAAAATTTCACAACATGTACAGTGTATGGTAAACTTTCACTCAATCCTATCTTTACAATAAGTGTTGCAGCAAAAAAATATACCTTGGATTAAAAATTCCTATCTTAAAATTTTTTTCTATAAGTTCATCAGTTTGAAGAATATATTAACATCCACTTGCTCTTTAATTCAATGAAATGAACAGGAACCATCTTAGTTTCATTAATTCATATATCCCAATTTATAATTTCCTAACTCCATCTGCAATTTCTCAAATTTATCTTTCATTTTACTTTTAGGTCATCTCTTTAAATCACTTACTTTAGTCTCGCTCAGCTTTCTCAATTTCATGGATCACTGTTGCCTTTTGAACAAGAATATTTCAGTTTTTTCCTATCCTACCATGTTTACTTGAACGGATTCTCTGGTATTATATTACTTTTTTTTGTGACTATAATTGATTCTGCTGATTATTTGTCCTTTAATTTTTGACCTTTGGCTAGAAAACATGACCTACTCACCCCCAATGAAAAAGATGATCAAGAATAAGATCTGGGGGGGTCAAGGATTTAGCTCAGTGGTTCTACCACCTGCCTCACAAGCACAAAATCCCGAGTTCAATCCCCAGAACCAAAACAAAAAAATAATAAGATCTGGGAAAACATTTTTAAAATTTTAAGAAGTGTAAGGCCTGCCTTGCAAGTGTAAGGTCCCAGTACCAAAAAAAAAAAAAAAAAAAAAGAATTGTAAGGCCCTATCAATTGTCTGTGTTCTAATTATAAAGTATAACTAAGAACAAAATCCCTGTTGGGTATGGTAGCACAAACCTGTAACTGCAGTACTCTGGAAGGCTGAGGCAGAAGAACTCCAAGTTTGAGCCCAGCCTGGTCAATTCAGCAAGACTTTATCTCAAAACAAAACAAAAGGCTGGGAATATAGCTCAGTGTGAAGGCTGTGGGTTCAATCCTCAGTGCCACACACATGCATACACACAACAATCCTAGTATTCACATTGTGATTTATCATCACAGTTTCTAAGAAAACGGATAATGTTCCCTGATAGTACTTTGTTAAGCTTCAAGAAGCAAGATAAACCTTACCAAATCTTGATTAAAAAGTGTAACACCATTATAGTATAACATGTGACAAAGCAGTAAAAACACCTAAGACTGTCAGTAAGCAAGCAGAAGAAAATGATATTTTTATACATGCATCTCAACTTTAAAAACATAAATGAACCCAATTACAGAGGATAGCTGACATATTTTGACAATCTTGGCTATTATCACATTGTCACATTGTAAATTTCACTGTGTTCTCTGCCATAAATTGTATGCTGCTTTTCAGTTATGCATGATGGATTAAAAAAATTTTTAAAGGATTCCAATGAAATAAGGGAAGATAACATTGTAAACACGAAAGCTCTTCATAAATTAGAATTTCACATATACAATATGGTTACAACCTTACATATCCTGTATTACCTATGCCATGCATAGCTAGGTGTCCTGAGAAGTACTTGGAGAGATTTCAGCAGGGCAACGGACCCACACAAATGGAAGGTGCATAAATCCAAGTGGAGAGTTTGGCTCAAACCCAGCTTTCTCCAGCATAACTCAGTATTTTTAAGTACTGTTATAAAAAGAAAATGTAGACTTTTCTAACGAAACCCTCTTCCTGTGCTTTATAATCATCAGTCTCAGAACTTAAAAGTTTAATGTAAGAATTTCACAAATTAACTAATGCTGCTAAGGAACTAATAATCTTAAATCCTTTGCAAACATAAAATAAATGCGGCATCTAGGATTCAAGCAAGAGCAGATAGAAAACATTTGAAAAAACTACATCTGGACTGAATATGTAAAACAGTACAACAACTATTTACGTGCAGTAAGTACAAATAATCTAGAGATAGTTTAAAGAATACAGAAGAATCAGGTGTGGTGGCACATACTTGTAGTCTGAGCTACTACAGAGGCTGAGGCAGAATTGCTTGAGCCCAGGAATCTAAGATCAGCTTGGGCAACACAGCAAGAGCCCCTTTCAAGAAATAGACAAAAATATCCCCTCAAATGCAGACAACATAGGAGGATTGTATAGGTTATATGAAAATGTTATTCCATTTTGTAGAAGGAATTTGGCATCCTCAGATTTTGCTATCTGCAAGGGGGCCTGGAATGAATCCTCCATGAATAATGAGGGACAACTTATATACTTCATGAAATCAGAAAACTCTAATTTGTTTCAATGGTATCTTTTCAACTGGCCATGAACACAAAACCTTGGAGCTTCTAAACCAAAAAATTACACAAAATTTCCATGTGTAAAATAATGTCATCAGAAAAAGAAGCATATTTAAACATTCTCCGATATACAGATTTAGGTATACTCTTCCTGATATTGCTAGACTGTTTGTGTCCCTTAAAATTCATGTATTGAAATCCTAATCCCTGCCAAGCATAGTGGTGCATGTTTATAATTCTAGTATTTGGGAGGCTGAGGTGGAAGGATCACAGCAAGTCTGAGGCCACCCTATGCTACACAGTGAGTTCAAGGCTAGACTGAACTATGTAGGGAGACCTGTCTCAAAAAAAGAAAGAAAAGGAAATCCTAACCCTTAACATGATGGCATTTGAAAGTGGGGCCTCTGGGAGGGTTGAGCAAGAGCAGAGCCCTCTGAATGGGATTAGTGCCCTTATAAAAAGAAAACAGAGCTTCTTCTCTGCTGTCTGCCAAACAGGATGTAACCAGGAAACAGGCCCTCACCAGATCCTGGACCTAGTGAGGTTAAATTTCCTAGCCCCAGAACTATAAAAAAAGAAATGTTCGTTTAAACCTTCCAGTCTATGGCAATCTGTTATAAAAGCCAGGGCTAAAATGGTATCTAATTATATTAACCAAAGAAAATAATTATTCCCAACTCTTACCATTATCATTTCTTATGATTTAGCAAAATTCCCAAGCCCTTCCTGTGATTACTCTGATTAAAGTTAAACTAAATTGGGCTAGGGATATGTAGGGACAGAGCATTTGCCTACCATATATGAAGCCCTGCATTTGATCCCCAGCATCACAAAAATTAAAGAAAATTAAGCTGAGACTAGTACGCAATTCCCTCAAGTATATGTATACCCATCTATATAAAACTGGCTACATATACCTAAATTATGTTTATGCCAATATATTCAAGGCTCAAATGCTTTTACCATAAAAAAAAAACAATTTTTTTAATTTTCTTTTTTTTTTGGAGACAGCCTCACCATGTAGCCCAGAATCTTGCTATGCAGCTCGAGTTCGAAGTGATTCTCCTGGCTCAGTCTCCTGAGTGGTGCAACTACAGGCATGCAACACCACACTTGGCTGGTTTTCAAATTTAGGGCTCAAAATAAACACTTTTCTAAAGCATTTTGACTAAGCCAAAGGAGGAAAAGATATTTAAGAATTAAATTTTGATATCCCAAAAGAACATGAAAATCTCTTTCCCTTCAAGCAAGTAATTTAAGCTATTCTCCAGCTTTCCTGTCACTCATATGAAGTCCTCTGATCTTTCTTCATTAGTCTCATATTATAAATAAGAAATCAATATATGTGTATATACATATATGTACCTATTTACATTTATATATGCACGCGTGCATGCACACACACACACACACAGAACCTCTTAAACAGGAGCTATTTAAAAGAGATATCAAAATGTGAATTAGAAGGCAATCACAACTACCCATATGAAATAGCTAAGAATCAGAGAAGAGCTCTTTAACCTACTTCCTCCAAACTATAGAAGAATTTTGCGAACAACATTACTAGGGAATGGTAGGGCATACTTCATTCATCCAGTATTTTTTGAAAAGTGTCTAAAGGTTACTAACCATAAGGAAGAATACTTAGAAACCAAATTATTTATACAGTAATTTAATATGGAGATTAGGCAGGCCTATACACATAAAATGATTACTGTTTAATATCAAAGTCAGATAGCCTAATAATTATGCTCACTGAAAGATTTACTCTCCAAGAGTACTTATAAGGAGTGCTGATAAATGAGACTTGGTGTGTTTACCGTTAACATGGACCGTCAAAAAATAACTGGAACACATTTCCCGATTTCATAACTGTCAAAAACTTTTTGAAGGCAAAAAGGGACACTGTGATGAGGCTGAGAAATGAGAAAATCATAATATAAAAATAAAACATAAATAAAACCACATTGGAAGAAATCCCAAAGAATTATACAATCTAACCTTTTCACCCCAAATCAGTTCCACCTTTTTCTTGCCACTCCAACATTGATGAAATGTAGAGTAAGAGAAATTTTCTCTGGAGACACAGCAAGGGACTCCAAAAGGCCATGGAGGGAATTTCAACTAAAATTCAAAAGCCACAGAAAAGTCTGCAAAGAAAAACACAACACAAATCAAAACCTTATTAGTATCTACAGGTGTAAAAAAATAAAAACAACTTGTGCTGATCTTACCATTTCCATTACCTGAAAAAAAAGACCAAGCTGGCAAAGAACAAAGCAACAGCCTCACTTTAGCAGAACTCAACGGGATCACCAACGAATAACGTGCACTTGAATGACTATTGTTTTTTCACCAGCAATTTCTCAAAATTTTATTTTTGGCAGTTCTAAGTGTCTCTAAATTTAAGATACTGAATTCATTTGACACAGTATATTTTTCTAAAAGGGCCAGGCTTAGTACTGCTGAACAGCTTTAGATGCATAAATCAATGAATTAGCCCTGCATTTGGGAAACAGTTTCATGGAAAGGGTTTTCTTTAAAACATCAAACACCCAACAAGGGAACATTTGATCTCCATCTTCATTATCCTCTATCTCAGTACAGAACAGTTTTCTGAGGACATTCTGGACTATAGGAGAAAAGAACACCAACCACCTCAATTCAGAGTAAGGCTCTTCCAAGAATATACTGTATTAATCTCTGTTCAGAGACATGACATAAAACAGAATTAAACAGAATTTAAAAATTGTTAGTCTAGATGCTAAAAAAGTTGTTTTAAATTATTTTTCTTATAAACTTAATTTCCTGAGATCTCCCAATCTAAAATGCTTTTATGTCTCCTTCTGCTTGTCACTCCTCTTTCACGTTTTGATGTGCATATTAAGGGGTCAATAAATGGACGACGGTGATAATTGGCAGCTATAATCAGTTAACTTCAGAACTACAGTTACTCAAGCACTCACCAGGTGCTTGGTTGCACGCGCTCCAGACACTTTATCAGAGACTTAAACCTCGAATTAACCTCAATTGTTCCTTACTGCACTGTCCTCCTGAAACCTCACATATTTCCAAAATTAGAGAGCACATGCTGCAAACGTGGATCCTGCCAAGATCATGAAATAAAAGGAAGAAGGATTTAAAAGTCCTCCCAAACTGCAGCCCAGGACCAGCATTAGGAAGCATCTTCACTAGGATTCAGAGTGACATCCTCACTAGGATTCGGAAAACCTAGGACACCTGCGCCCGAGTTGACCCCCAGCCCCTAGGACCCCAGGAAGATGCAAACCGCAGAGCATCCTGCAGCCACCTGTCAGAGCCCCAGGCAGGCTTCCCACCCCGGAGCCTCCAAGCGCCTGCCCCTCGGCGCCGACCCACCTGCGCCGCTCTCCCGGGCTCCGGCGGCCACAAGAACCAACGCCCTCCGCACTCGGATCTGGAAGGTCTCACCTCGTTACCGGGCCCACTAACCCGTGGTGCACAAGCCTCCACTGGGTCCGAGGCTCGGGCGGGGTCAGCCGGCCGCGGCAGTCCCAGTTCTCACCTTCCCCTGCTCCTTCTATCCACCCAGCTCAACCGTGGCACTGCCGCCCGAGCCGGCAGCCTGCTACTTACCTCCTGACAACCGCACCGAGTATTCCCGACCACCTTGTTCAACGCCGCTGTCGTCGCCGCCGCTCCCGCCGTCTTCGTCACCGTTGCAGCCGCCACCGCCATGTTTGTTGTGTCTCCGGCTTTCTTCCCGCCCCTCTGCCCTGCTCAAATCTCGCGTGAGCAAGACATCGGGCGCTAGCGGCGGTGAAGGTTACTTGTCTCTCTGGCTGTTCCGTAGGCACGAGGAGGGTGTGAGGGGCGGGTGCCAATGGGCGGGACCCGGCTCCGCCTACCTCCAGCTCTGGAGAGCGCTCGGGAGCAGCCAGCCTGGCAAAGATACCTGACCCGCGGCTGGTATGGAACGACTCCCCGTTAGGTTGCTGCGCGGCAGCGGAATGGTGAGTTCTTGGCGAGCCCTTTGGGGGTTCGGAACAACCTTGACCCGCAGCGTCGTCGCCGGTGAAGCCTTTTCCTAACGGGCCAGGCACTACAGCTGAGCCCCGCTGGACGTCCTGGGCTCCGCGCCTCCCTGCGTCTGCCAGGCCGGTCTCCTCGGCCCCTTCACCCGAGGGCCGCCTTTCTAGGCTGCGGCTGAGTTGGCTTCTGCATTTGATTAGGGAAGGCTGGGGAACGACAGATGGTGGGAAGGTGATAGGGGGCTGATCAAGCACCCCCTAAGCCTTATCGGCCAGATGTCCTCTGCAAGTTACTGGGTCCTGAAAGCCCTCGAGTCTCAGATCCCTGAAGCATTTTGCAAAGATGTCACCTCTCCGATGCTTTAACCGACCTTTCCCCAATGATTACACGTCCCCTCACACACGAGAAAATCCCAAAAGATTGCTAAACTAATAACAGGCACATGTAGATTCCACAACATCACTGTACGCAGCGAGTGCAGGCTCTTCAGGGGCGAGTGGCTCTGTGGTCTGGGTTTGGGGAAATTTATATGGTCATGGGTTATCCTTAGGATGGATGGTCTAGGATGTTTATTCTTTGAGTTATTTCTCATTTACCTATTGCCTGTTTTAAGTTAAATTTGCGCATTTAGTGGGTTCAAGCAAAACTATCAACAAGGTTAAATATGTATTATTTATATATATTTAAAGTTTAGAGATAAGGTACCTAAGTAATAGTACTGTTTCTTTGAGAATGAAATTATTTGATGTAACTTTTGGAATTTATAGATTTATAGTATCAGAAGAAAAACACAGTCCAAATTTATAGACTTAAACGATCCTTGGGATTCCTAGGAATTTAGGAGAAACCCAAAATGAAAGCAGTCCTAGGGAGTAAAAGGCACAGGTAACCACTGGCAACTCATTCTATCTTGAGACTGCAGTTTCCTCAAAGCTACGGTTTCCTCAAAACTACAGTGGGTTTTTGTTGTTGTGAGGTATTTTGTTGTTATTTTGTTTTGTTATTTATTTATTTATTTATTTATTTACTGGAGTTTTTTTGTACTGAGCTACATTCCTAGCTCTTTTTTTCTTTTTTCTTTTGAGACAGTTTCTGTCTAAGTTGCCCAGGCTGGGCTGGAGTTTTGAGATCCTGCTGTCTTAGTTTCCCAAACCACTGGGATTACAGGCATGCACCACAATCCCCAGTTAGGACCAGTTTTTTAAAACAATAGTTTTGCAGTCTTTTTTACCTGTCTTTATTTCTTCTATTCTACCTCCAGGGCTGAGTATCTTCTGTGGGAGGATCTGTACTACAGTCCAGGGGAGCCCATTCTGGCTCCTCTTTCTCAGCGCTTCCTGTTGTATGTACTTAATTCTGCTCCCTAAATTTGCACAAACTTTTGGGTCTTTAGCCTTGAAGCAGGATCATTATTGGCGTATTAAACATCCCTATCCCTTTATTGAAAGCTTCCAGGACCCTCAACATTTGGTACCCTTGCTTTCATGAGTGTAAGTACTTCATAGGGAATTTTCCCTATGTGAACCTTCCCTTTGCATTTATTTTCGAGAGTTAAAGGTTCTTGGCCTCCTGCTTTAGTCTCCGCACCCTCAAGCAAAGCTCTTTATCTCACATTAGAGATAATTAATGCTATTTGTTTTACAAGCTTGGGGTAAGAAAATTAGTAAAAATCCTGTCAGTGTGTTATAAAGAAACAGAAATATGTTCTCATAATTACTGCTTAAAACTTTTGTAATTGTTGGTTAATAATGTAACAAAGAAGATTTTCTGGACTTCACACTTTGACTGTTTTAGAACCAACTTTTATAGAATGGACTCTTCTACTCTTCGTGGTTGTGTGTTCTTAGTGGTTTTATTTATTTTGCTTCTGAAATCTCTTAATTCTCAGGAACAACCTAAGACATGCGAGTTTAATCTTGCAGATGCAAAGATTGCTGAACAAAGATTAAATTCTTTGCGAAAAGCTAGAAAAAGTCATAGAACTGGAATTAAAACTCCAATCTAATTATAATCCTAACCTTCACAAACTATGGCCATGCCTACTTCAAAGATATCAGAGAATTTTTTTTGTTTGGATTTTTTTGTTTTATTCACTCCTTCATAGTTTTAGAGCTCCTTTACATAAATTAGCATATGTAACTGATTGAATGTTGACTATAGCAGTGTAATTAAGATGTAAGGCTGAGCATGGTGGTACAAGCCTATAATACTAGCACTTCCCTATAATCCCCATACTTAGAGACCGAGGCAAGAGGATGATGGAGAGTTCAAGGTCAGCCTGGGCTATATAGTGAGTTCAAGGGCAGCCAGGACAACATAGTGAGACCCTGTCTCAACTCCTCCCCACCCCCCAAAAAAGAATGTGAATTCTGCAGCCAGGCTGCTTGGGACTGAATCCAAGTACTGTTATTTCCTAGTGGCATAACCTTGAATTTAATCTTTTTGGATCTCAGTTTTCTAATCTGAAAAATGAGAAGAATAATAGTAGCTATTCCATGGGATTGTTGTGAAGAGTAATTGAGTTCATATGTTCATGTAAGGTACTTAGAATAGCACTCAGCACATAGCTTTCAGTAAATATTAGCTCTTACTGCTATGCATTATGCATTGTTTACTTTGGTAAAAATAATAAGAGCTAAAAACCCTACCTTCAAAGAGTTTTTCTTTGATTGATGAGTTTAGAAGTATAACTGATCACATACCATTTTGACATAGAACAGATCCTAAGTGGTCTGCAATAGCCCTGAGTTCAGAGAAGAGGACAATGAGTAAGACCACTGTGGGACAGACAGGCTCTTTGAAGGTGATTTGAGGATGTAGGAGGCAGAAGAGAGAGGACATTGAGGAAAAGAGGAATGAAGCTTTAGGAGGAATTTGGGAGTCTTATTTTAGGGTGTAGAGAACAATTGAAGATTTAGAGCTTTAGAGATGCTTAATCAGAGATAAAGTATAGTTGGTTTTCTGTGGTGACGCATAACATGGGAAGCAGATCAATGCACATTAAGGCTAGTTTTGATCCCTATTAGAAGCAAAAGGAGAGACAGAATTTATTGAAAACTTACTGTAGACTGGGGACACATTCTTTCTGTGAGTCCTATAAAGTAGGTCTTAGTGGCTTCAGTTTTGTGGAACTCAGAAATAATGTCCAGTATTTCTAGGTCACATAGCAGCAGTAGCATTCAGCCCTCTTCTGCCTTCCTTGAAAGTCACTTGTTACTGCAGATGGATTAAAATTGTCCATTTTGTTTGAACAACACAGTTAGTAGAGAATTGGACCTTTTAATCAACCTGTGCTTCTAAATAATTTTTAGTCATCTTGATGTTTTTAAGAAGTTATGCTTGTAAAATGTCTTTAAGATAGTGTCACTTAATCCTCAAAAGGATCGCCTGCCAGATAGCAGTTGCCAAAGTAGGTATTAATCCCATTGTAATGCAGAGATATTAGAAAGTGGGATCGCAGGGGTACTGTCTTGCTGGGTGGATTAATGCTATTTTTGTAAGAGTGGCTTCCTAATCAAAGTACAAAGTCAACTCCTGCCCTTTTACCTTTTGCCATGAGATTATGCAACAAAAAAGGCTCTCAGCACATCATATTGTCTTGAGCTTGTTCTTGGCAGCCTCCAGAACTGTGAGGAAATAGGTTGCTATTCTTTTTTTTGGGGGGGTACTTAGGATCGAACTCGGGTCCTTGTGCTTGTGAGGCAGGCGGTGGAACCACTGAGCTAAATCCCCAGCCCAGATTGCTATTCTTTATAAATTGCCCTGCCTGTGTCATTCTGTTATAGAAAAACAAACTGGATTAATCAGAGGGAAATAAATTATTCACATGTGATAAGAGAGAAATCATATTACAGAATGTAGAATCAGCCTCCTTGAGTTTAAATTCTTTCTACCACCTCTTTCCCCGATGATTTAGACAAGTAATTTCTCTACTCTTCCATTTCTTTTTTCGCAAAGTGGGGAAACAGCAGTATTAAGTTAAATGTTCAGGGCTTAGGACAGTTCCTAACATGCAGTATTCAGTAAATACCAGCAAAATCCATTAGTAATCGTTTCCAGAGGAAAGGACAGTGTGTGTTTGCTTTATGCAGAGTACTTAGAGAAGTCTTGGGATTGTAAGTTTACAGGGTCCTTCATAGCAAGGAAATTACATTTTTAATGTAATTAAAATAGGCTATATGTTTTTAAAATGATTTGGATAGTAGAAGATAGCAAATTGCTAACGCTAAGTAAATAGTGTGGGCAGATATGTTTATAGGAGATGGGGTTTGAATTGACCATCCAAAGAAAGAATGGCTTAGGTTTTTGGGAAAATCAGCATAGGAGTAGAGCCTCCAGGCCAACATGTATGTGACAAGATGTATAGGTAGGGAAATGCTCTGCTTGATTAAAAAATATGTCAAACTGCTGATATCTTCACTTATGTGAGCTCCTTCCTACTGCCCCCCCCAACCCCACACTGCTGAATTCCATGCAAAGGACTCTCTTCTGCCAGGCCTACATACCACTGAATTCAGGGACTGGGAACACACTTTTTGTGAAGCTGAGCAACTCAGACACATGATCACTGGGAGTGAGGAAGACAGTCCACATCAGTGTCTACAGAGGCTGTTTCCTGCAGCCTTTAGAGACGCCTGGAATCCTGAGTCAGATTAAAACTTGGCAAGCAAGATTATTGCTTTGACCTGGGGGTAGAAGGGGCACAGTTAAATTTTAACATTGAACACATGGACTTAACAGCTACAGTGTTTCTTCCGACAACTGCAGAATATACAGTATTCTCTGCAGCTCGTGGAATAGTCTCTAAAATAGACCATATTAGGCTATAAGGCATGTTTAAATAAAATTTTTAAAAATTGGAATAGTCTTTTGCATCCTATCAGATCACACCAGAATGAAACTAGAAACCACTGGAACTATACAAACACATGGAAATTAAATAATACATTATTGAATAATCAGTGAATCACAGAAGAAGTGA